GTCCTGCCACGGCCAAGGAGGCCGTTCATGAACTCACAGTCTGTCCTTTTATGGACAAGGAGGCCACTCAAGAACTCTCTGCTTGTTCGGTCACAGGCAAGTGGTCTGTCCATGTCTCTGCTCCGCCATGGCTCCCCAATCGGCCTGCACCGCCATGGCTGCCTGCTCCACCATGGCTCCTCGGTCGGCCTGCTCCGCCATGGCTCCCCGCTCTGCCTGCTCCGCCATGGCCCCCCGATCGGCCTGCTCCGCCATGGCCCCCCGTTCTGCCTGCTCCGCCATGGCTCCCCTCTCTGCCTGTTCCTCTTCACGGGCCTGGCCCTCCATCCCGCCCCCTGGACCACCTCCAGTCCTCCACCCTCCTGGACGTTGTGTTGGTTGGGGTGGATGTTACATTAGGGCGTCAGGAGCCGCCCTTAGAGGGGGGGGTATGTAATGTGGTGTTTTGTTTCATGTTCATGTTTTCCATGTCTTTTATTTTGTAATTGTTTTATGGTCCCTGTTTGTGTCATGCTTCCCTTGCCCTCATGTATTCATGCCATTGGTTCCCCTTTTTATTGTGTCATGTTCTGATTGGTTGTCTAAGTCATGTGTCTTGTTTCCCATTGGTTTGTTCTTGTCATGTGACCCTCTTGTTTCCTATAAGTAGCTTCATGTTCCCATTGTGCCCTCGTCGTGTATTGATGTTGTAACCCACTGTCGGTGAGTCTAGTCTGTTTATGCCTCGTCAAGTCTGTTCATGTCATGTCAAGTCAAGTTTGGATTATTGTTTGGATCACCTTGTAAATAAACTGCACTTGGGTTCTCACTTACGCTCGCCTTCAGTGGATGACTCATTACATATTCATTGTGTGTTATACGTAATCATACGCATTTGTGGTTATAACTTTTAAGAGTAAGTATTATAAATGTTATGATTATTTATGAGATGATACAACATATTATTAAGCTTTTTTTATAATGCTTTATGCATTCATTATATAATGCCTTAAGAAAACCCTTATAATGTATTATAAACAGGCTTCATAGAAAGTGTTACCGGATTGACAAACAACTGAGGAAAGAAGAGAGAACATTCAGTTGGTGGGTTTTGCTCTTATATGCTTACATCTGAAGTTAGATGTCAGTAACATGATTATTCTGTTTGGTTCTCTCTCTCTCTACAACCCCAACAGTGCATACGTGTTAAATCAGAAATATATATTACAGAGTTAAACATGTTAAAGCAAATGTTTACACAGTGAAAAGATCCAAAGCCTCGGAGCATTCGGCAACAGCGCCATCTACTGCCTCATATGACTTACATGCGTAGCCAATATTCATAATTAAAATGTGCCTAAATGGAGGAACGGTTTTCTAGCTGGGAGGAAAAATTATATATGTAGCCTATGCTCTGCGTTCTGTCGCGAAACGTTTGTGTCCCCGAGATAAATGTTGTGAGACGGAAATAATTCAAAGCTGGGAGGAAAAACGATTTCAATGCTTTTCCGAGCGAACGCAAAGCTTCTTCTATTCAACGTTCAAAGGTTTTCGGGGGAACTCAATACTTATAAACACTTACTGTATATCACCTATATTTTATATGAATAGCCTTTGTATATTTTTTCCCTTCTCTCTCTCAAAAGACAGAGCGAAGAAAAGACCAATCAAAAGTCCAATGAATTACCCAAAAAGTACAGCCTACACTCTTCTCTTCACAATTCAACCAACCATCGGAAAACCCACCACTGCCAACGTACTTGGAAAGTTTAGACTCGCAGCGAAACACTCACATGATTTAAAAAAGTGAAGCTGAATTCTATCATGTGATTTTTTTTAACACGGAGCTTAATTGAAACCTGCTGCGTATGCTACTTGAGCCTCGAAGGCTACATACGAGTTTGACTGACAACCGGAGAACAACAGATATACGTTTCATGAAAATAAGTCAGCTCGTCTTTAATGTCGTGGTTTCATATTTGTGAAGAGTGTGAACAGTATAGCCTATGTCTTCAATGATATCCTGCAATTCCTGTTCTTTACGCTTGGGTTCTTATTTCAAGTGGAACAACAAGGAAATATGAAACTGATCACTGACAGGAATCAGGGACAAAAACAGCTCCACCTTCAACGCGTCAGGGAAGAGTCCGGCTATCTCGCAGTCTGGACAGTAAAATATACACAATTGCTCATAAGGTGAGTCTAAATCAAATTCACGTGCTATTGAAAAAGTAAGAACCATTTGAAAAATAAAAAAGTGTGACTAGAATCGCAACCGTTTGCTTTTATAGCAAACACGCGCAGGTGAAAGTTCACTTCCTCTGAGGGAATCGTGTATGCAGTCGACGAGAAACCAGCAATGTTGTTTCAATAATTAAGCATATTCTAGAGCTTGTTTGGGAAGGGAAACAAACTTATGAATTTACATAGAAACGATTCATTTTTGTCATTGTGATTTTCTGATGCATGAGCCCTACTTGTTTCTTGTCTTTGTGGGAAGGTTGAAGCAGCATGTCTCTGACAGTGTCTCAGGGTGAGGGAATGATGGTCATCACCGTCACCTCAAACCCACAGAGCAGATGGCCCTTACTGTGTCAGATTCTGAGTTCTCTGTGCTCTGGTCCAGTGTGTTTTGCATCTCAGGATATGGAAGAGAAGCTGACAGACACCCAGAGAGTCATTAGGGTGAGTGAGAGACTTGCACTGATTAAAATCTTGATGTCATTAAAAATAAATAAATAAAACAGATTTAAGATGCTTAGGTATGTTCCCATATATGTAGCCTACTCTTAATTTAATAGTTTAAAAGCTGGAGGTCTGTTGTTCTCTTATTCCATAGATTGTACAGATGGTAGTTGCAGTCATGAATCTTGTGTTGGGATGTTTTGGCATGATCTTCTTCTTTGTTACCACTTCGGTCAGCAGTATGGTAAGACATTCCTCGTTCTGTTCATGTATATGTTTCTACATCAGATCATGCAGAAAAATGAACGTGTACAGTATAGCATAAGACTGCAGCATAACAAAGATGAAGAGTTCTGAATAATTTTGCGCACACACACAGGTTTGTTTTTATGGTTTATGGGGACTCTCCATAGGCGTAATGGTTTTTATACTGTACAAACCGTATTTTCTATTGCCCTACACCAACCCTACCCCTAAACCTACCCCTCACAGGAAACTTTCTGCATTTTTAGATTTAAAAAAAAAACTCATTCTGAATTATTTATAAGCCTTTTGAATTATGGGGACACTGAAAATGTCCTCATAAATCACCTTCTCGTTGTAATACCTGTCATACCCATGTTATTATACAAATTTGTGTCCTCATAAACCACGTAAACATGCACACACACACACACACAAACATATATATAATCATATGCTGTAGTTTCATGAAATATGATAGTTTTTTATAGTTTAAACGCTTTACTTTCCTTATGTGCAATTCATAAATTCACCCACTTATCTTTTTCTCTAGGTGTTGTCGGTTCTTCAGCTCTGTGTGGCTATCAGTTTCTGTGTTTTAACCATAAAATCTTTGTGCAAGAAGGGTGGGAGTGCAAAGGTACAGTATTGTGCTTATAATAAACAGAACATTACCACCTGCTGGTGTGAACACTGTACAGTTATCTTTATAGCTATCCTTTCTCTACTGGGTTTCAGAGAGCTTCTCTGTGTGTTCATGTTTGTCTGTGGTTTTGCAGTTGGTGGAGAACACAACTTCAGAATCTAGAAGTGGAAAAAGCCAATATTCACTTCCGTTTGGTCACAGTTGTAGCATGACTCTTGCATTGACTCAGGTGAGGGACTGACTGACTGTTATCACCATCACCTTAAAGTAATAGTTCCCCAAAAAAGGAAAAATTGCTAAAAATAAATAAATAAATATACTCACCTTCAGGCCATCCAAGATGTCGATGAGTTTGTTTCTTCATCAGAACAGATCTGGAGAAATTTAGCATCACCAACGGATCCTCTGCAGTGAATGGGTGCCGTCAGAATGAGAGTCCAAACAGCTGATAAAAACATAACAATAATCCACAAGTAATCCACACCACTCCAGTCTATCAATTAATGTCTTGTGAAGTGAAAAGCTGTGTGTTTGTGAGAAACAAATCCATCATTAAGTTAGTTTTTACTTAAAACTGTTGCTTAATTGTGATGTGAGAGGACAGCAGGGGGCAGATTTTTTTCACTGGAGAAAGCGTCATTATGAATTTTGGACTGGTATTTTGGCAGTATAAAGTGACGGTTTAAAGTTCAAACTTGCAGCTTTTCGCTTCCCAAGATGTTAATTGATGGACTGGAGTCGTGTGGATCACTTGTGGATTACTGTGATGTTTTTTATCAGCTGATGGAACTCATTGTTGAGCAAGTAATGTAATGCTAAATTTCTACAAATCTGATCTGTCCTGATGAAGAAACAAACTCATCTACATCTTAGATGACCTGAGGTTGAGTACATTTTCAGCAAATTGTCATTTTTATGCAAACCATTCCTTTAAAATTAAGGAGCAAATGGCTCATATGTCAGCTTGTACTTGATGCGATGTGTTTGTATTTTAGGATATGGAAGATAAGCTGACAGACACTCACACAGCACTTGGGGTGAGTCGGATACTTCGATATTTTTTATATTATCAGCTTTATTAAATGGTTTATGCTATGTGTTTTGTCATCTGTAAAACTGGTACAAATATTGTTCTCCTATTTCATAGACTGTACAGATAATGGTTGGTGTCATGAATATCACAATGGGTTGTTTTGGCTTCGTCTTTGCTTTTTGGATCGGCGGTGTGGTAAGAGTTGTTACGCATTCTCATCATCATTATTATGTTTCTAAATGAGTTTGTGCAGTACAATGAGTGAGTTCATTCAAAAAGTGAATTGACATTGATCTGGCTTTGAGAATACCCTACATTCATTTCTTTATTTTTGTATTTTCAAATGTTATATGATTTATCAAAATCCTAATGAGGTGGAATAATGTGAAATCTGGTGGTTTGTATTTACACTTTCAATTTGAAGATGCATGTTTGCACGGACCAATGTTTTTATTTCTTTGCTTTGCCTTTTAGTTCCTTGTTGTTGGAATTATGTGTGTTCTTGCAGTGATGTTTCCCCGTCCCAGGCTGGTAGGTGTGAATCAAGAGTTTTTAATTTTATTTATTTATTTTTGAGCATCAGCAATTTATATTGTTTGTGTTTTACAGCTGGTCATCACAGTGGTTCTGAATGTAGTCAGTGCTGCACTAGCTATCACAGCTGCTGTGCTGTATTCAATGGACCTGGCAATGGGAAGCAGTTTAAGCTGTTACAGAGATAATTATTATTCATCTAATAATGACTGGCTTGCCCGTAAAGGGAGTAACTTTGAGTCCTGTTTTTACTACAAAAATCTCAGTCAGGTAATGATTTGATTTATTTATCTTTTTCAGTGTTATAAAAAATGATTTGTGTGTATTTTATTATTATTTAATAATACACTGATGTTTTTCCACCTCTAGATGATGCTCGGAGGACTAGATATCATGATGGTAGTGCTGTCTGTCCTTCAGCTCTGTGTGACCATCAGTTTCTGTGTTTTGACTGGAAAAGCTTTGCGCAAGAAGGATGAAGATGCGAAGGTACTGAATCAGCAGCACTATTACAACAATCAATCAGTCAGATCCACTGATCGTGAGAGTTTCAGAGAGCTGCTCTGTGTGTTTATAATTGTTTGTGGTTTTGCAGTCGGTGGAGGATCCAGAACTTCACAAGCCGCTCCTGGAAGACTCCACTGCTGGTGCTGCGTGACAAGATGAACACTTACATACATATTTTGATTTGAATAAATTTTATTTGTTTTGGTAATGGAAAGTGAAATGATGCCATCTGCAACACCACAGACATGAAGGTGCATCATTTACATGTAGTCTTTTCACAAATGTTTTGTTACTTTTAAAAAGAAAAGGCCTACTTTTTAAAAAAATGAATTACTTGAGGATAATGCATCTTGAAAATGTGATTATTTAAATAAAATAGAAAAGATGCAAATAGGTAATAATAAAATATGCCATGATGTTTTTCTGAGTATGGAAGTCTTGCCTGTTTCTTAACTGTTTCATGTATGACTGACACATTCATCACAAGTTTATTTGTTTTTGTTAAAACTGTAATCCGTAAATGGATGCAATTCAAATACAGGTGCATCTCAATAAATTAGAATGTCATGGAAAAGTTCATTTATTTCAGTAATTCAACTCAAATTGTGAAACTCGTGTATTAAATAAATTCAATGCACACAGACTGAAGTAGTTTAAGTCTTTGGTTCTTTTAATTGTGATGATTTTGGCTCACATTTAACAAAAACCCACCAATTCACTATCTCAACAAATTAGAATACTTCATAAGACCAATAAAAAAAACATTTTTAGTGAAGGGTGTGTAATTATTTTCATTATTTTATTGACTCATGGCTGTAGAACACTTATTCAGTATTCAAGAGCAAGAAAGTCCTGTTAATCTATTACTGGATGACAAACAGTTCTGCTTTTAACTCCAGAAGGAACCACTACTTTGCTTTGTGATTCATTATTTTGCCACTTTTTTGTGATTCAAAGTGGTCTAAACATGCACACTCAGTGCATCTGCTGAATATGCACAACGAATGTGAAAAGTGCTATACAATTTATTGAATTTAGTTTTAAATATAAAAGCTAACTAACTTAGCTAAACCTTTTCCAGCTAACATTAACCAAATTTTATAAAATGTATTTGATAAAAGCGTCTGCCAAATGAATAAATGTAAATGTAAATGTTGATTCATTACTGAATGTTGTCTGATCATGTCCAACGACATATGTGCCCTATAGTACTATGAAATGCTTCTTGTAAGTTTGACTGCCTTCATTTTTGCATATATCAATTTGGAGAGCAGACGTGTAGTCAGTTAAGTTAAGTTTTGCATTGAACATGCAGATATGCAAGTCTGGTACTGTAATACAAATGGAATATTGTTTCTTACTAACCCTAACGATTATAGTGACCGTGTTCTTTGCAGATTGTAGTAATCATACAGAATGATCTATATTGCATTATATTGCTCACTCAGAATTTTCTGTCTTAGTTGAGGTTATGCTCATTGGCTCATCAGCTCATCAGCGTAAATCTGGTTCACTAATGTTAAACATGGATGACTCTTGTTTTGGATTTTAAAACTAAACTAAAACAATTGGGAGTTATATTAGATTTTTGATCCACACGTGCAACATACCGTTAAGACTCCCTTTTTTCATCTCAGAAATATTGCTAGACTTTGCCCTATGTTATATTTTCCTGTAACTGAAAGGGTTATTAATCCTTTAGTTTTTTCTTACTTAGACTACTGCAATGCACTTCTTGCTGGGGTCCCTAATACTTAACAGACTAAATATTCTAAATACACACTTAACAAATTACAATATGTGAAAATTTCAGCAGCTACAGTAGGATCCTGACTGGAGTCAGGACAAAAATTTTGAGGTCTTTGCACTGGCTTCCAGTCAGTTTCCATGTTAAATTTTAAATCCTCATGCTTACTTATGAGGCATTGCATGGCCCCTCATTATCTGTCTGCCCTCTTAACTTTATATGCTCCTAAGCATCACTTGCGCTGCTCCCAAGCTGGCCTTGTGGTTGTCCCACAGACATGCATGCAAACTGTAGGGGATAGGACGTTTTCATCCTGTGCTCTTAGACTCTGGAACACTCTCCTTTCCTTTTTTTAGGGATGCACAGAATTTATGCACTTTTAAAGCTTAACTAAAACACTTCTTGAGGTTAGCTTTTACTTGATTGTTTTAATAGTTTTTGCTTTGTATGTTTTGTGTTTTTATTCCTCTGTTTTATGTGTAAAGTGTCTCGAGAAGCTGCTTTAAATTTGCTCAAAGTTGATTATTATTATTATTAACATCATGGCAAAGCAACAGCAACTTAACTGTGATTACAAATTAACAATATGAAATATGGAAATACAATCATTTTTTTCATGCATTGTGCCGAGTAATTCATTACGTGCAATTCAATAGTTTTCCAAATACTTCATGTTTTATCCTTTAAAACCTTGCAAACATATTTTTATGCAGTACTTTGCTTGTAAAGCTTGTGCTGTTTAAAATAAATGACACTTTATATATATATATATATATATATTTTTTTTTTGTTAAATGATGCAAAGAAATCCATATGATTTAAAGTGTTGCTTAAATGTCCAAATGTATTTATCAACAATTTCATATGCAAATATACATCAAGCTAATAGCCAATCACATGATACCAATGAGTTCTTATAGTTCCCAGACAGGAATCGTCTGTACCAGAACTAAAAACGCTGCTGTGATCGACACTTGGATGTCCATAAAAAAGTGTGAGGTATTATTTGATTTTTTTTGTTGTACCAGTAACAATTGTTTAAAAATTTCAACTAAATTTAATTGACCTTTAAAAATGTAAAGCCACAACAAATATTAAAAAGCATAAAAGTAATGTTTATATTTTATCTGTCAAAATAATGTAATATTTGTAAAACAAAATGTTTTATAAAGGCAGTTTTGTGCTGTTTTATTCTGTGTTAACCTTAGACAATGAAGAGGATGGGAGTTCCTGGGAAAATTCTGTGCATCCTAATGCTGCTGTGAGTATGAAAATCACTAAATAAATGCATTGTATTTTTATTTGCCAAAAATATTGGGGTTATTGGCCTTTGAAATTAAAAAGAAAACTACTGATCAACCAAAGGACAGAATGAGGACTGTAATATAAAGCTATTTTTATTTTATTTCTGTGATCTCCCTAGTAAAAAAGTAATATATTTAAAATACATTTATTTCATACTAAGTATAGTTCCAATCTTTTAACATATTTACAGACATATCACTCTAGACTTTGATATACAATTATAATTCAACTTTATTTGGAGAACTACTTGTGCACAATGCACATTTCTTAATATTAAGCCTAACATGTGTTTTAATGTCACTCTTGATGAGGATTGTATGATCATTAAATAATATCGGCCTTTAAATGCAACATATTTAAAGTGTACCTGAAGTATATTTGCAATAGTTTCACTTAAATATACATTTAATTATAGCACAATTAAATATACTTCAGAATATCTTTAGTTGGACTTCTGCACAATTAAAGTGCATTACGTACAAAATGAGTTGTTCCAATTTAGCAGACTTTAAGAATACCAGTTTAGTATACCAAAAGTCAGGGGATTTATATTAAGTACACAAATATGCAAATGTATTTGTAGTATACTTAGCATGAAATGAATGTATTTCAAATACATTTTAGTATATTTGTTTTTCACTATAGGGCTTATCTTTGCTTCTTGCACATGTTTTCATATTATTTTTTGTACAAGGGATTGCACTGATTTAATTTTTTGGTGACTAGCTGTATTGTTTTGCTGTATTATTTTGTGACTCCTGACCCTGTAAAGCTGAAGGGTTTTGTTTACCTAAATTCTGTTATTTCCATTTGCATTTACATTGATTCATTTGGGAGACACTTTTCCAAAGCAACTCACGGTGCATTAAAGCTATACATTTTTTCAGTGCACACATTCCCCATCAACTGAACGCATAATCATGCAGATGAGCACAGACAGACTAAATCCGGCAGACTCGTGTTGTAGCATAAATTAGCGTGATGGAGCTGACCAACTAACATGATCATTACAAATCTGTTTAAAAGACAAAATACATGAATTTACACATATCCGAGAATCTGAAAATCAAATATTTCACAATCCATTTAACAAGTTTCTTAATAAATCTCCATCTAAGTAAATCTTAATCTCCAACAACAGGTCTGTATGTATGATGATATGAAAAGCTGACTTTTATGTCAAGAATTGTTGACTTGATATTTTGATTCTGTTCCACAGTCTGCACAATAGTCAGCAACAAGTGTTTAATGATAAGAAAACACTCCATCTCCCTAAAAATTATAACATTGGCTGGATGAAAACTCTGGATGATAACAAGTTGATTTCCGACATCACTATTCCTGGTACCCATGACAGCTTGGCCCTTCGTGGAGGACCAGCAGCAGAATGTCAGGCATGGTCGCTAAGGGACCAGCTGAATGCCGGCATACGCTACTTCGACTTGAGAGTGTCTGGGGACGATCTGAAAGTTGTGCATGGACCGATTTCCCAAAAAACAACATTCTTTGAGGCTTTCAACACAATAAAGGACTTTTTATCTATATTCCGAACAGAGACAGTGTTGGTCAGACTTAAGCATAGCAGCAAATTTCCAGATCATGTTATATCCGATCTTAAACATAAGTCTAATACTTGGCTTAGGAATGAAATACCAAGAATTAGAGACATAAGAGGAAAGGTTGTTTTCGTTCAAAAAAAAAGCTTTCATCTGGGTATCAGTCTATATGAAACTGATAAACATGGTGACTATAAAGTAGGAAGAGTGGGAAAAAAGAAAGATAAAATTATTACCCATCTGAATGAGGCTTTAGAAGCATGTAGATCTGGTTCTGTTGTTTTGAACTATTCAAGCGGCACAGGCTATCCTTTATTAAGGGTAGACAACTCCCCAAAAAGTTTGGCCAAAAAAATTAACCCTTGGCTATATAATAATCTCAAAGGCGCTTCTGAAGAAAAAATCAAGCTTTGTTTTGGGATTATAGCCATGGACTTTCCAGGCTTTGATTTGATACAAGCAGTCATCAATTTTAATAAATAGGTAGGCATATAAGTCTGTCATTTTTACAGTACAGTACATTTTTTAATTAAGTGTACACTTTAGTGGGACAGAAGTGTGTATTTTCTGTTTTTTATTAACGACAAAGCATCACTGCCTTGTCTATATATTTACTTTTTTCTGGAGGTTTTTCTGGTTAGGGAGCTTTTTCTTTTAACTTTTAAACCATGTAGTCTTGACAACAGCAGCTCAGTTGAATAAACCTGAAATTAGCATGCTCTGCTCATAAGTGATTTTCTGAGTCATGTGAAATTCAATACAGTTTTTCTCAATTGATTTGACTAATTTCTCCAAACTGAGGTCACTGTTCTCAAAACAGTTAACACAGTGATATAAACACTTTGTAACTATCCTAAACAGACTGCAAGATTTCATACATGTCACACACATTACATATCATATACATATCACTGTGCACAAAAATGATAGTTAATACAACCAAGCAATACGTTAAAATATTTGAAAAATTGTAGCTTTGTTTATATGTTTTACACAAAGCACAAACATTTATGTACGATTTGTCCAAACACAACACACAAAGCTCATATCAACAAATGCACATGGTATATTTTCAGTTGACCCCAAACTATTAACTGCTCGCTTAATAAAACACACAGGGAACACATTGATCTAATTGTATACACATGTATCACAATTGCTTTTAACTATAAAGGGGAAAATATACAAATAATATGCAGGGGGGGGGGGGGGGGGGGATGGGTAAAGAAAGAGGTGTAAGCCTAAAAGGTGGTGGAGTGGGTAAAAAAAGGGGTGTAATGAGAGAGAGAAGAAGAGTGGAACAGGTAGAAAGAGATGAGCAGAGAGACGGATGTCAGAAAAAGAGAAGAGGAGAAGGAGAGGGAGAAGAAATGAGTGGAGTGGAAGGCATTGGTGGAAAACGCAAGGGGAGAAACTGTAAGGAGACGTGGACAGAGAAGAATAAACAGCAGGGTGGAAGGAGATGTAGAGGATACATGTTAGAAATCAAGGCCTCTCCTTTAGAGAAGCTGGGAAACACATCTAAAGATGTGTATTTGTTGTAGCGACTCAGCTCATGGGATATATGAATAATTAACCATAACTAGTTATAATTAATTATGAATATTTTAGATCCGCTGTTACACTTCTATATTTATAAATATTTTGCTACGATTGTTGATAATGCAGATTTTTGTTGATAGTCCGTTCTTTACATGTAAATGTCCAAATATTTTTCAGAATTGAAGTTTGAGAACATTCAGGTGGACAATCAAGTTTATTTTGAATGAAACAAGAGCACTGTTGACATGGTGGTCCAGAACAACACCAGCAGCCACAAAGGAAGAGGCCTGTGGAGATGATGAGACAGGAGCTTGTCAAGCATGGAGGAGTGGAAGAGGACTCCAGTGGCAACCTGTGAAGCTCTGGTGAACTTCATGCCCAATATTAAGGTTAAGGCAGTGCTGGAAAATAATGGTGGCCACACAAAATATTGACACTTTGGGCCAAATTTGGACATTTTCACTTAGGGGTGCACTCCCTTTTGTTGCCAGCGGTTTAGACATGGTTAATGGCTGTGTGTTGAGTTATTTTGAGGGGACAGCAAATTTACACTCTTATACAAGCTGTACACTCACTACTTTACATTGTAGCAAAGTGTCATTTCTTCAGTGTTGTCACATGAAAAGAGTAGCTATTTCCAGGTAGCTATTTCAGGCATTCAAGACCAAGTCCCATCTACCTGAATGAGGAAATCCTAAAATCTCAAAAACAGCTGGTCACACTCGTATTTAGTTAGCATATTTCAGCAACAAAATCTGACATGAACTGTCCCAAAATTATTGTTGGTTATGCTTAAATGGGATTACAACATCTTATATTTCAGGTTGGTTCAGCCAAATGTGCAGCTGCGGTGATGCCATGACTTTACCATTTGGCGATTGGCTGTTTTGTTCAGAAGGCGGGAATTCTTTTGCCATATTTGCTTTATACTTTCTCCCATATTGCTATAAAAGTGTGCCGTCTTGGTATATCTAAAGTCTTGCTTACACACAGAATTACATATTGAAGGATCCTTAGATCCTCACATGCAAATTGTGTGTGTTGTGTTTTTGTTTTCATGTTTTTAATTCATTTATAATCATTTATTCATTCATATGAGTTATTATTTGATTATTTTTATTATTTGATTATTTCTATCCTTTATCATTATATTATTTAAGTAGTTTTATTGTTTATTCATTTTTTATGTTTATTCATTTATTATGTTTCTATATTTTATATTTCTTATTAATTTTCCCCAGCTTATGCATTTCCATTGTTGTTCAGTCTCATGCTTGTGGGGTTTCATGAACTGTTTTGTCTGTATGAAAAAGAGATAGATAAGAGGGAATGTTTATGGAAACCCAAGGTTTATGGGATGTTGCTGTGAAGCAGTTTTGGTATAACAGTACATGTTGAATTTGTGCTGGTCAGACAAAGTTTGAACATTGAGAGATATGCAACTAAGATTGTTCAGTAAACTCTGTTACTTTTACCATCATCACTTTGTCTCCTGCTTCTGCTCTTCTCTGGCTTTCCTCTGTCAAATTCTTGACTGACAGAAGACTGTTAAACACCCGTTTTGGGTATTTTTGGATACCAGACAAGACTTGCTGTTGACAGGGTTTGGGTATTAACAGCGCTGCTGACTAGTTGTTCCTCTAAATTCGAGGCAAGGTCATTCCATCCATTGAAGACAGCCCTATAAAGTGCTTGGGAAAGTGGCAAGCAAGCTGAAGAATGGTTGAGGAAGATCGACAGGCCTGGACTCTCCGGAAAATTCAAATAGGCCTACTGGCTGTACCAGCATGGCCTTCTGCCGAGGCTTATTTGGCTCCCTTACAGTCTATGAGTTCCCCTTGACAGCTGTAGAAGGCATTGAGAGAAAATCTACAAGCACCTGCTGAGGTGGTTGGGGATTCCCCTAAGCTTCTCTTCGGTGGGTCTCTATATCCGATCAGGACAGCTGCAGCTCCCTCTGTCATCTGTCGTGGAGGAATTCAAGGTGGAAACATGCACAGGCACACTAAGCCTGAGGATTCCAAAGACGTTCGGGTAAAACAAGCATGCATCACAGCAAGATCAGGCCGTAAATGGGCAGTCAACATAGCCATAGAACTAAAGCTCATTGAAGTTACGTGCTCTGGTCAAAAGGGGACACTGGCACACATATTAATTAGTCAGTCTATCTATTTTAATTTTAATATCTATCTATCTATCCATCCATCTATCTATCCATCCATCCATCCATCCATCCATCCATCCATCCATCCATCTATCTATCTATCTATCTATCTGCCTACTGGGTTTATTTATTTATTTGCTTGTTTATGTGGTTTGATAGGATAATTTGAATGTGTGTATTTTCAATGTTAAAAATTACAATTACACATTTTAATTTGTAATAATGTGAAATCTGGTAGTTTGCATTTATAGATTTAAAGGGATAGTTCACCCAAAAATGAACATTTTGTCATAATTTACTCACTCTCATGTCACACCAAACTTGTATGAGTTTCTTTCTTATGTCGAACATAAAAGAAGATATTTTGAAGAATGCTGGTAATCAAATAGTTGATGGTCCCCATTGACAATTTTTTTAGGGGCATGAAAATCAACGAACTTCTGTTTTTAACCTAAATTAGGATAAATGCCAAACTAAAAAAAAAAGAAAAAAAAAAGAAAGGGCTATAAATGATGTCTGAAGAGGTTTGCATGATTTTACCACCAGGTGGCATGTATCACATACATATACAAGTCAGCTGCTGTCCAAAGTGTAAAAGCAGAACAGAGCCATCAGATAAATGCTTAATAAATTAAATTGCTTTATAAATTAAAGTGCTAAGGCTGCCACACAGAAGCTTGAACTAAAGTGTTCAAAGGCAGGTAAAGGTAAGTGGGTGTCTAAAGGTCCTTTGAAATTCATATAGCCTAAAACCTTATGTGCTATAAGTTTTTTAAATATTATTTTCAGGTATTATATTATTAATATTGTGCTTTTAATGTTACTGTAGATTAGAACACCTGAGTTCAGTATAAGCATGAAGGATATCTGTTTAATAACAGTGTTAGGAAAACAGCTTGGCTCATTCCTTTTGAACAGATCATTTTAAAGAACCGGTTCACGGAATCGATTCAGTGATTCCTTCACGTCCAAGCGCAATGCGTTACGGTGCGTTACACAATGTCCATGACATCATACTGCATTGCATAAGAACAGAAATATAATTTGTATTCACAATGCTAAAAAAAAAGGTTTATTTATCTGTTAAAATAATATGCAGGAATCGTTATTTACTTATTAGGCAGACTGTCTGAAGGAGACGGTTTATGGTTCAGTGAGTCACTGTTGTGAGAACCGCTCGAACCGATTCAGTCTGATTCGTGAATGAATCTTTGAATCAGTAGATTCTTTGAAAATATCCGAATCAAACGAACGATTCATTAACTGACGTCGCTGTTTTGGGCCTCATCAATTGTCGTGTTTTTCTGCTGTTTTGAAAAAAGTTTAACATTTTCCTGAAATCTGACTGAACTCTGGACTGTTAGTCACAGGGTAAGTCTGAGTTGTTTCTTAAAAGCCTTCTGAATATGTAATATTGCAAAAGTGTAAATTCGGCGTCACTGGTAGATGTTTATACACAGTTTTCTTTTTATTTTGGTCGAAAGGAAAACTTCCGCCATCAATACCCTGTCAGTAGTCAAATTTATTCTAGAATGTTTGGGAAGGATTTCTATTAAGATTGGGCCAAGTTGTCCCATTTGAATTCAAAAGTATAATTACCAAATTCTTCTCGTCTCTAGCAGGTTGTCACATGTGCTTTTAATGTTGGAACTGAATAAGTTATAACGTTAGTTTTAAAAAAAAATAAAACAATTGTCATATATATATATATATATATATATATATTGGACAAAGTAACGTTAGTGGTTACCAGTTTCATTTTGCAGTTGACTGAATTTTATCATATTTTTTATTATATTTTGCTTGAGGAAAAACAAATATGTAGTGAAATGCCTTTTTTAAACAGTATTTTAAAAAGTGTCAGTAAATAGCATTGTGGCACTTTATCCTTAAAGGCTTATTGTGACTACATGCCCCCCGCTATGTCATCATTTGTTAACTGAACTGTGTCTTTTTTGTCCTTGGCAATAGCAGTGTCAAGGCTTTTTGGCTTTGTTTGTTTCTCCTCTAAAGCTTGATTTAATGTCTTGATGTGTTTATACCAAATGTGATGAATGGTCATTTGCTTGTCTTTACACAGGACGTTTGGCCTTCATCACCTGTTGGAAGGCTGAAGTCTGCAGCATGACTCTGACAGTGTCTGAAGGGGAGGGTTTGACGGTCATCACCATCGCCTCAAACCCGAAGAGCAAATGGCCCGTACTGTGTCAGATTCTGGGTTTTCTGTGCTGCAGTCCAGTCTGTTCTGTGTCTCAGAATATGAAAGGGAAGCTGATGAACATCCACACTGCTCTTGGGGTGAATTAAACAACTGTTTTTTGAAATACTTTCATTAGAAGACTTCTGACATTAAGTTGATTTTTCATTTTTGAGGTGTATGAACAAAAATCCATAGACTATGCAGATAATAGTTGGCATCATCAATATTGTGTTTGGGATTTTGCTTAACAGCTTTTGGATAAGGGGCAACCTTGCAGATTTTGGGGTTGCTTTCTGGATCAGTGGTGTGGTAAGAATTTGTCTTATTCTGCTCATTCTTATGTTTCTAAACCATTACATGTGTAATGAGTGAGTCTTATTCAGATTAAATCTGTCTGTTACAAATATGTTTGAGAGGATGAGAAGAGAGAAATATACTGTAAAATGCATGTGCAAATACTTTTGAAGTGTCATGTTTTTGAAAAAAATGTCTAAAATGCTTTCTTTACATGTGAGTGTACATATCTTAATCGTTTTCAAAAAAGTTTTTTGGCGGCGGCGTTCGGCGTCTGTCCGTGGCGCCCAGCTACGTCGTGTTGTACTTGTAAGAATTGTTGTAGACATGCCGAAAATTTGGCTACAGCACAGCAGCACTTCTTCTTGGTTTTCTCTGATGCACTAACTCTGCAGCAGCACTTCTTCTTCATCGTCTCGTCTGATGCACTCACTCAACCAAGCGTTCCAACCCCCAACCATTCGAATTTCTGTAGGCGGGAATTATTTGTAATGATATTCTAATGGGCCACTTTGTGATATCACAAAGCCCGGAAAACAAACACTGTAGTCCAAACGAGCCGTTTGCTGTAGTTCTTGAAAAGGGATTTTTAAAAAACGAAATATCTCCCTTTGGAGTGGACTTTGAGATTTGTAACTTTCTAGATCTTTTTTATGCCCAAACATCCTACACACTGACTAAAATTAAAAAAGTGAAAAAGCATAATAGGACCCCTTTAAAGCAATAGTTAATCCAGAAATGAAACATTTACTCACCCTCAGGCTATCCAAGATGTAGATGAGTTTGTTTCTTGATCAAAACATATTTTTCAGCATTATAGAAATGTAGCATTGCATCACTTGCTCACCAATGGATCCTCTGCAGTGAATGGGTGCCGTCAGAATGAGAGTCCAAACAACTGATAAAAACATCACAATAATCCACAAGTAATCCACACCACTCCAGTCCATCAATTAACGTATTGTGAAGTGAAAAGCTGCGTCTTTGTGAGAAACAATTCCACCATTAAGGCGTTTTAACTTTAAACCATTGCTTCTAGCCTAAATACAAGTAATGCTAAATTTCACCTAATCTGTTCCCAGGAAGAAACAAACTCATCTACATCTTGAGTGGCCTTTGAGTGATTAAATGTTAAGCAAATTTTCATTTTTTTGTGAACTATTCCTTTGAGAAAAGTGCATACTAAGAACACAGTTCTAATTCAAAATCTGCCTTTATAGTACTGTGCCTGAATGTAGTGAAATATCTCAATCATTTCTCATTTTCAAGGGTATTGAAAATCTTTTGCTTACGTAAAGTAAAACATTTCAGAACAACAATGACTTCAGTAGTATCTTTTTGTGGCTATTTGCACGATTTCACCACCAGGCGGTGTTAAGATGCTTAACATCATAACGATAACATAACTTTGCTAAGGCTACAATACTATACAGCATTGTGTGTTAAACGTTATCAAAAGTAGGAAGAAATTCCACCATTAGCACTCAGAACTATTGAAATTAAAAAGCTATTTCACAACATACAAGATCTAATTATCCAAATATGTCGTCATTTTTTCTCTTTCTATCTAGTTTTCTGTGGCGTTACCATGTGTATAGTTGATCATTCTTTGATGGCTGGGCTTATGTTTAACAACGTTTGCTACCCCTTTTGACACTGACAAGATTAATATGTCAAAATAAATAAATACATTTTGATTGTAAAATCACAGCACCTTATATATAGCATCACAAAATAAACGGACAATTCTTTTGCTGTAATACCATCTCACTGTCCTTCCTATTTCAAGACTTATTAAAGACAAAAAAATATTGATCTGAGTTGAAATTATTCTTGTGACACGATACAAGAGGCATGAAACGGTAAACTAGCTCATTTACCTGCACTCATTAGTTACTGTTACTGGGAACTCAGTTGTCTTGATCAGGAAAAAACATATCAAGGTAGCTGTTTTTAGATTTCATTTACCGCAGGCATGTCTGCGGTCGAGTTTCAGTGGGATTACAGTGATGCTGAGCCACTTTTGTTCCTTGCAGGAGATTCAGTAATTTAAAGCAGCTGAAACCGTCAGCAAAAGTCAGAGCTTCTAATTATAGTATTTTCATATGCATACAAAGGCATTTATCCTCGCTGTGACATAGTTTCTTGTTTGTGTATTCTGTGATCTTATTTATACAGTCCAGATGGATTTTAAGTTGTTGAAGTTTTGCATGAAGTTTTGCATGATTTTTGTTTTAATAGCTAATTTTCCTTTCAGTTAATCAGAATCAGCTTCTGGCATTGGTAGCAATTATAAACACAGAATAACATAAATATATAGTTCAGTCATGAAACTCTAGATGGCGCATTCTGACGGGGTGTTAACGTAACTGATGATATTCAGAGAGTTAAACAACTTGGCACAAGCTGATTGGTTCATGCTGCATATGCAGCCAATGAGCTTACGGCCTTGCATTTACAGTGGGTACGGAAAGTATTCAGACCCCCTTAAATTTTTCACTCTTTGTTATATTGCAGCCATTTGCTAAAATCATCTAAGTTACTTTTTTTTCCTCATTAATGTACACACAGCACCCCATATTGACAGAAAAACACAGAATTGTTGACATTTTTGCAGATTTATTAAAAAAGAAAAACTGAAATATCACATGGTCCTAAGTATTCAGACCCTTTGCTCAGTATTTAGTAGAAGCACCCTTTTGATCTAATACAGCCATGAGTCTTTTAAAAGGGCTGTGAGTTTCGAAGGTAAAAATAAAAATAAGTAAATATGAATTTACAAAGTTAACATACTATATTTTTTAAACATCACAATGGTGCTTGTGAAAAATATGACCTTTGAGGGGGGGGGAAATCTTTTTTTGGTTCCCAGCACTTTTAATAATTTTGTGGCATGAGAAACCTATAAAATGTTCAATTTGGAATGAAATGAGAGTGTGTAAATAATGCCAGCATTTTCATTTTGGGTGAACTATTCCTTTAAGAGTGTGTTTGATGCATTAGTTATTGACTATGGGCCTACTGACAGTAAATTTGATATTCCAGGGTAAAATGAATGAAAACCACCGACACTGCTTAGTCATTATTGACTTTCTTTTTAATTAAATACCAAATCTGTTTGCTTATTGTCATGCATATGCTATATTACCTCTTGAGTTCAGTCATTTCCAGATCTTCTGACCAAGAGCCATGGGTTCCTCTCAAGAAAAAACAAGTTTACTCCTTTATGTAGACATTTATCCTTTTTGTATTCAGCTTGTTAGACCAGGAAGAACCTCAGGAAACTGAGGATTTTCCACATCAGCATCCAATCAGGTTGGGTGAGCTTGTGCGTTGTTGGAACCACTCGCCTAATAAACATTTATTGGATCTTTTTCAGGCTGAAATTGTCCAAAAATGTAATCATTTCAATGGAGACTGCATTAAGGAAGAACCAAGGTAACATTGAGGGAATAAATGGCTGCACAATGTATTTTTGCATCTCATGTGAAACCTCATTCCTGAGGTCACCTCAATGTGAGGCACTGTGGCCAAATCATATTCATGCAAAAGTCATTTTGGTCTGATTAAAATAATCTCTTAAGCTATTTACAAGTAGACTAAGTTCATGCTCCTCCTGAGGTTGAGCAAAATGCACTTGCTTTGTGATTAGTTGGGAACATTTCTAGAGGAAAGAATTTTGCTAAACGGTAAATGTTTATTTAAAAATGACAAATTCCATATTACCTCACTTATTTGACTCAAATAAATCCTAAATGTAACTTTTTATACTGTTGCCTGCTGCTGTTCTGTCACTAGAGGTCATATCGAGGACCTGTGGCCTTGCCAGTGGGGTTGCAATAAAGCCTGAAAACAAGCAAGTCACAAGCAAGTAAGCCTACATCATGATGCAAGACTACACAGAAATAAAACCAGCCAGCCAAAAGTCCCTTGGAGATCCCACATACACCCTTTAGATGAGAAGTGAAACGAAGTTGAAGGCAAAAATCTTAAATGTCACATTTTTCTCCCTGAGAATCTGCACACAAATTCATTTGAAATAAACATGGAGACGTACAAAACTGTAGCTCTGTTCTAAAACCTTTTGAGCTACTTGACAGCATTTTAAGGGCAAAGCCAGAGTAGTCTGCTGCGAAAGGTATCTAATTTTTGCCAGATTTTAAGGTTGCATCACATCCTTCATAACAAAGGAAACACCAGAATACACTGCAATGTCTCAGCCCCAGCTAATAAAAATATGTTCTCAAAATATTTAGTTAACATTCCCGTTTGGTTATGAAAACGTTATTGCTGAATCTTCTCAGACTGCACAAAAATGCATTTTTTAAATGATTTATGAATGCTTTTTTCTTGCTTATGTGAACGCTAGAGAAACATGAATTTTATAATTTTGCAAACATTATGAATTCTTTACTTTTGAACGTCCTCTGAATCATTCGAAACAAGTAACGAACATTTAAAAAACATTAGACCAGCTAACATTTTTCAGAAAAAAAAGTTTCATGAATGGTGTATAAATAACGTTTTTGTGCTAACGTTTTGATAATGTTATTAAAGACCAGATAACTTTGAATGAACATTCTATTGAAGTTACTGTTCATAACTTTGAAAGAACCCATCATCCTTTTAAACTACGTTCCTGTTAGCTGGGGTGAAATCCAAAACGAAACCCAACATATAGAAAAGGTAAGAGAATTATAATGTTGATTTTAAGCATTTACATTTCATTCAGTACTAAAAAGGACAGATAAAATAGTTCAGACCTATTAAACTGCCCATTAAGTGTGTGTGGACTGTGTATTTTTATCCTTACTAAATTATCACAATTATAGTTTAGAAACATGCTAATGTGAAACGCCACTGAAATCAATTGTGTCAAGTACAGTGTTATGGAGTTATATCCTCAAATCTAGAATGTTTCAGATTTGTCAGTGATGAGATAATGACTTGTTTCTTGCAAGCAATTACAAGTGGCAAATCATGGTTTGTTGGTGTGTTTTAGATGCACTTTCCCAACCGTCGGTTGGTTCACTGTAAAGGAAATGGATTGAATTTATTGATTTGAAAGTGTCTTCATAGCTTTTGTCCTGTCAGATGTGGTTTTGCTGGGCTGCGACGTAAGCTAAAGGCTTTTGGCTATAATATACTACTGACACAAGGCACAGCTGCTGCAGTATTTACTCTGTCCAGATGCAGTGAGGAGGAGCTGCTGGTTGTGGAAAGTACCAAAACGCCACAGATTTCTTCCTCGGACCGGTGAAGCAGTTGTGCAAAAGGGAAGGGCATCATCCTTTGAAAGAGACTTCAGCAATTTAATGTGCATAATAGCTGACATCAAAGATGGAGATTATCATAATTATTGCCTTTAAGTTCTCTTTCAGCTTTTAAAAGTCATTTTAAGGTGAAAATTTGTTAAAATAATTTGTCATGATTTCCTTTACAATCATCATTCTAAATTGTCAGTAAATTTCACAATTAATTATAAAGAAATGGCAGAAAGCACATATTTGTCACGGCAGAGAAGAGTCAGGATCCAAGTGCGAGTGCAAAGGTAAGGTTTTAGTAATCACAATAATGGAGACACAAGGTGATAATCCTGGTCCTGGTCAGAATCAGAGCTCCACTGAGAAATCCCTTCAACCACTGCGTTTGACCAAACCAAGGAGAAGGCTGAAGATCCGAACCCTGACTGAGCGAGAACTGGAAACAGAGAACTGACAGGGAGACAGGAACATGAGAATAATGAACCGACAAACACATTGAACAGGGTGACCTATAAAGGACTCGCTAACGAGTTGCAGCTGGCGCGCTCTGATAGAGCACCAGCTGCAACCACTAACGAATGACGTACGCACATACAAGCACATGACAAGACGCAGAAAGACCGTCCGGACCCATGAAATACGCGCAGGGGTGCACCTTGTCATCCGTGGAGGAACGCTGGGATAGTACCCCACCAACTCCCACCTCTGACGCGTCAACCTCCACCACAAACTGCCTGGAAGGATCAGGGGCTATGAGGATGGGAGCTGAAACAAAGCAGCCTCTCAGTTTGGAAAATGCCGCTTCTGCTGCACTAGACCACCTGAACGCAGTCTTGGAGGTTAAGGCCGTCAAAGGTGCAGCTAGCTGGCTGAAATTGCGAATAAAACGCCGGTAGAAATTGGCAAAGCCCAGAAACCTCTGCAGGGCCTTGCGGGAATCTGGGGTTGGCCAATTCACCACAGCCTGAACCTTCTCAGAATCCATGCGCACCCCCTCGGCCGAGATGATGTACCCCAAAAAAGGAACAGACTGTGCATGGAAAGCGCATTTCTCCGCCTTGACAAAAAGCCCATTCTCTAACAGCCTCTGAAGCACTCGTCTGACGTGCTGAACGTGTTCCTGGAGAGAACGAGAAAATATCAGTATGTCATCCAGGTAAACATAAATGAACTGATCTAGCATATCTCTCAGAACGTCATTAACGAGTGCCTGGAAAACCGCGGGAGCGTTGGAAAGGCCAAAAGGAAGAACAAGATATTCAAAGTGCCCCCTGGGGGTAGTAAAAGCGGTTTTCCATTCATCCCCCTCTCTTATGCGAACCAAATGATAAGCATTGCGGAGATCTAATTTCGTGAAAAATGACGCCCCCTGCAGACGCTCGAAAGCCGACGAAGCTGACTCACCAGGGTCTGGACGGCCCGCCCCGTGGCCATCATCTGATCCTCCTGATGCTCCATGCGAATGTTAGTCTTGGCCAAAAAGTCTCTGAGCTCTGCCGCACTCACTGGATCCATGAGTATGGTCGGTTCGTTCTGAACTGGAAACAGAGAACTGACAGGGAGACAGGAACATGAGAATAACGAACTGACAAACACACATTGAACAGGGTGACCTATAAAGGACTCGCTAACGAGTTACAACTGGCGCACTCTGATTGAGCACCAGCTGCAACCACTAACGAATGACGTACGCACATACAAGCACATGACAAGACGCAGAAAGACCGTCCGGACCCATGAACCGTGACAATATTAAGCATGAAATTGAGAAAGCAGAAAGACTGAAATATATTTTCTTGTAAAACCTACTCAATTAATCATGGTTTTATTTACAACATCGAAAAAGTCATTTGCTGTAATCAAAAATATATATATAATAATAATAGTACTGGTAATTTTACAGACATTTCCATTAACCATGCACAATACAAAATACAGGTAAAACACCTTTAAAAAATGAATTCTTTCATATTAATACAGTACATTTTGCCCTGTTTTTACATATTTCTTTTACAGTGTAGCAGTGTTTTAATATGAATCTCTGGTGTTCATTTATACTGTAATGTCGTTGTCTTTGCTTTTAAATATGAATCGTTGGCATTTTTGTTTTCTATTCTAGGTTTGTTTTTGACCACTGTCATAGGGTGGGACAAATCCTGAGATAATAATAGATCCGTTTGTGGCTCCTGTGCATAATTATACGGTTTGATGGGCATTTCACAGTAAATCTATTTCTACACCCAGTGAAACGTACAACATCACAATCATCCAGCAACGACTAATTTGTTGTCTAAAAATGCATTTGGAAGAATTTCACGATGGAATAAATGAAGTATTATTCATAATTTGCACTATATATAACAACTGATGCAATGATTGGAAATATCACTGCTTGCAAGGCAGCAAAAGTATAGTACTGATATTTTCAGTAAGCTTGCATTTTAGCCTTGGCTCGGTGTAAGTGAAATGCCACATCGTTTCACATCTTCAGTCAGCTGCACATGAGTTATAAATAGTATGCAAGGAAGACAATACCAATCACTATTCAGTACTGTATGCATATATATGCAAAAGTCATGATGACTCAATTGGTTACATTTTTAATGCTGAACATTCTATGCTCTTCGAGGCTTAAATTATTTACAAAACACTTGCTGAAATGTATTATCAGAACAAACCCTGCGCAGAATGTTTGAGTAATATCAGTACAGTCCTGCCTTCCAAAGACTGTAAGACGTGTAGAACAGATCATATGTGGAAATGTTTTCACTGAGAGCTCAAGTGATCAGATTTCTTCTGAAACAGTCTGTAACAGAATCTTTGAAGTGTCCAAATCCAATAATCTGGTGGAGGGGGCTTCTGTGTCTCTACTGTGAGCGCTTGAACAGTGATAATGTTAAACACACAGACATAAACATATATATATATATATATATATATATAAAACGTTAGACTGATTTATGAATTGTTTGTTTATTAAACAATAGAAAGAGAAAATGTAGGCTGCATTCTTCTTCATGTCAGCAATAAGTGTGTTTTCAACTTTTTGGGGGGGGTTTGATACATCTGTATGTTTGATAGTAATAGGCAAATTTTACTTTGATAGTTTCACTTGGAATGATCCAGTAGTAAATTAAATAGCGTGAATTTTGTTTTCATGTCAACTTAGATGCTTAGAAGGCACTTAAGTAGACTACAGGAATGCGCTAAAATGAAAGAACGTGATTGTTTTTGAAAGAAGTTTCTTATGCTCACCAAGGCTGCATATTTGATCAAAAATACAGTAAAAAAATTTAATATTGTAAATATTATTATAATGTAAAATAACTGTTTTCTATTTGCATATAGTTTAAAAATGTAATTTATTTCTGTGATGCAAAGCTGAATTTTCAGCATCATTACTCCAGTCTTCAGTGTCACATGTTCCTTCAGAAATCATTCTGATATGCTGATTTGCTGCTCAAGAAACATTTATTACCAGTGTTGATTCTTTGATGAATATTCATTTGAAATAGAAATCTTTTATAACATTATAAATATCTTTACTGTCACTTTTGATCAATTTAATGCATCCTTGCTGAATACATGTATTTAGTTTAGGAACAACAGAGTATTCTGTGCATAGTCAGAATCTATCTGTAGTGGTCACTTGTGCAGCTTTCTGTGTAAATCTTTAATTGTAGTGAAATTTGTTCTGGAGTAACCTCACCAGACAGTCTGGTTCACTTGTAAATTGCAGCCAAGAACTGCCAATTATACAGAAAGAGACCAGACGGACTGGTAAAGTTTTGTTTTGACATGCCGTTTAGAGGCGAGTACAATCTGAAATAGATTAAATAATGGATTGGTGCAAAAAAAAAAAATGGTGCAGCAACCCCTGCTCATATTATAAAGAAAACACAGTTGAAAAATTTTGTAATCAGAAGTCCATCCAAATATTAAATGTACTGATTACTTCATACAAACTGAGAAAATAAAACATATTTTCTTCAAGTTCTCCCTGTAACTTAAAAACCTGTACGTTTTTTTTATCTTTTTTTCTATGCTTTGCTTATGTTAGCCCACTTTTTGTCCTTTAATTAATTTTGTTTGTTTTGTCATTTATTATTTATTTATTCTTACTCATTACTTTATATTATTTTAAGGTAAGGTAAACTTCCAAAATAAGAGTTTTCTCTTTTTTTTTTTTTACAAAATATGTGTACTGTGTATATTTATTATGTATATATAAATACACAAACATATATGTATATATTTTACAAATATTTACATATATATATATATATATATATATAAATAAAATTTATATTATGTATAAATATTAATATTTTATATATAAACAAAACATTTTTCTTAAATATATAAATGCGTGAGTATTTATATATACATAATAAATATACACAGTACACACACATATATTATGTAAACAAAAACGTTTGTTTTGGATGCGATTTCTCACGATTAATCGTTTGACAGCACTACTTAAAAAATAAAAAATAAAATGAATATTCAGTTTGCTTGAGAATATCTAAATACCTTAATAAGCGTTTCCGTCAAAGACTTGAAGTTAAAAGCCTGGAAAACTTTGTCAAATCTAGCAATTGGTTCTTCCTCGCAAGTGTTCATAACTTTTAAACACAACTGTGCAAACATCTTGCATACGTGGACGGTCTGTTGGCGAGCCGCCTGAGACTACCTGTATTACCAGCCTACTTCCTAAAACACTACCATCACCTACTAAATACACTAATAAGGGAGTAAAAACACTTGGTATATTAGAAACACAAATTTGATATATTAAAGTGTTCATTTACAGCTTTAAAACAAGCAGAGATAAAGGCATTACTAGGAAAAAAAGATGAAAAAAAGAAAGAAAAGTGTAGAGTACAATAGTCAATTATGGTCATAAGTCATAACCTAACAGAGGTTAAGTAGTCTAATTATAGTGGTTGAATCAAATATCATTTTACAACATCTGCTAAGCTGTTAATCTTTCTATGTCTCCTCCTTGTTTAAGCAGAATGAAGACAGACATGGAAGTTCTTGAACTTCTCAAAGAAGTGCAGCTTGTCAGAGAAGCTGCTGGAGAAGCCCAGATCTTTGCATGAGGTCTTGATTGTGTGAACCACACAGACAGGGATTGTCTCGAAAAGCTGTTCAGCCAACGGCGTCATTGTGACCTTCTTCTGCTCCAAAATCATGCTCTGTATCCGGGCTTTATCGACAGGTTCCGGCGAGGCGCTGTAGGAGACCACAACGTTTAGCTTGTCATCTGACAATGGCACCTGATAGCGACTCTTTCCAGTCAAACCGTGGAAGTCTTTCTTGTTGGTGAACAGGCCGGTGGGGGAGTTAAAGATGCGGACTGACCAGCAAACCCAGTCATACTTCTTTTTCAGGTGCTCTACCAGCAAGTCAGCCAGTTGCTGATTGCTTTTGTTGCTTTGGTCTCTCACTATGCGTTTGGTGTCCAGCTCGGCCTGCGTCGGAAAGCTGTTGATGCAGTCTTCAATCACGATGTTCATTTTATTCTGCACCACTTTCATCTTCTCGCCCCAATCTTGAAGCAGCTTCTCCTCATTGTCATTGCCTTTCAATGCTGAGTGTCCCAGAAAGGCGATCAAACCGACACAGAACAACTTTTTGAGGGTAGCGCAAAACTCCTCCACCGCCCTGCGGCTCTTCTGCTCGTAATTCAGAGTGATTTCCAGCACAGACTCTCCTGAGAAGTTATCTCCGGTTACAGCGTTGTAAAGAGTGTGCAGGTTTTTATCACCCCCTGTCCTGTTGAAGTGCTCCAGGAACGTTTTCTTTCTGACCTCTCTGAATTTAGGTTTTGCATTCAGGACGTCCATGAATTTGCGGAATTGGTTGGTCAGGTTCTCTTCCACGGAGAAATAGGTGGCATCTATGCCGGTCTTCTTGATCTCCTGGTTTATCTGCTGGACTTCTTCAGAAACGACTTCCAGGCGATCTCGCACTTTCTGGAACTGCTCCTTCATGTACTCGGCCTCTTTGCTTTCCACGTTATCCAGTGCCAGCTTCACGATCGGAGCTGCGATGGAGAACACGGGGAACAGATCTCCAGCAATGCTGGCCACCACTTCTGCACCCTGCTCAAACACTTCCATGACTGTTTCGACAACATCCTTCTTCTGTGCAACAAGTTGCTGCAGCTGCTCGGCCATCTTTCAGTTTCAACAGCAAAAATGTCTCTGTTTAAAATTAGATCATCACATAATAAATGACAAGAAATAATACTTGAAAAACCATGATTGTAATTTCAGCATGTTAAAGGGGTCATATGATGCTGCTAAAAAGAACATTATTTTGTGTATTTGGTGTAATGAAATGTGTTTATGCGGTTTAAGGTTAAAAAAACACATTATTTTCCACATACTGTACATTATTGTTTCTCCTCTATGCCCCGCCTTTCTGAAACGCGTTGATTTTTACAAAGCTCATCGGTCTGAAAAGCGAGGTGTGCTGTGATTGGCCAGCTATCCAGTGCGTTGTGATTGGCTGAATACCTCAAGCGTGTGACGGAAATGTTACACAACTCACCATACTGTTGATGCCGTGTCCGGCCGGAGCGACGAGACAAAAACATTAAAACCCATTATAAACGAGGTATTTGTTGCATCCAGTGGGGACATAACTATGGATTATAATGACTTATACTGTCTTTTTACGTGTTGCATCGCGCCGCGTAAACATAAAACCATGTCTGCATTTGTGATCGGAGAAATTACAAACAACAAGCGCTACTCTACACTGCTCAAAAACTCGAATTTGAATCATCAGAGGCAAATCCTTTAAATGAAAAACGTACTTACAGTCTGTGAGTCAGAACACCGACATTGTAGTCTACTCAGAAAACAGTCCTCCATAAAATGTGCTGCACACATCTGAATATTTGGGTTGAACTGTTCTGGAACAGTGTGTATTAAATATAAAGGAACAGTTCACCCAAAAATGAAAATTTGCGGACAATGTACTCACCCTCAGGCCATACAATATGTAAATGAGTTTGTTTCTTCATCAGAACAGAATCAGTTCTCAAAATCAGTTCTGATGAAGAAACCAACTCGTTTACATCTTTAAAGGCCTAAGGGTAAGTACAATTCCAGCATTTTTTTTACACGGTGCAATTTTTGCTGTCGTGTTTCTCTTGGGAGAAAATCGCAGATGCTCGCATGGTCGCGGCTCGTACCGTGTGAGAAGAATTACGGGCCGATCCGAGACGTTACGAGCACCTCCCGTCCTCCCGATAATTTTCAAACATGTCAAAAAAAATCGGATGCTGTCGTTTTAAATTCGTGGCGTATGTGCAGTTGAACGAGACGACTTGGCGATCCATCTGAAGTTGACCAATCAGAAGATGACAAAAACCATATAGTCTATAATAATTTTAGTTTAATTATACAGTTCAATGTTTTATTTGTTATTCCGAATGTGCCAAATTTGCCGTTCAGCTTTATGAATGAATATGCCTGTTGTATTTCCGGCAAAACGAGCAGAAATTCAGAAATGGCCTACTCCCTCGAGTTCTTTATGAAGAACAGAAAGTCCATGCTTTTCAGCCATTCTCTTTGCCATGTCCTTTGTCTTCGTTTTTTTTTTTTTTGGACGTCACAAGCCGCCTGCCACAAAGAAAACTATTTCGTCCTCAGAATCCATATTTTTATGAATGGCGCGAAACGTAATGCTTACGTCAGAGTTGGTAAAATCTTAGTAAATTCGTGTTGTGTGTGACTGTCACGACGTTCCGACCTTCAGAATCGCACCGTGTACGCCCGCCTTAAGCGAGGCCTTTGTTTTCTGAGAGTGGTATACGGAAAGAAACTTACGTGTCAGTCCTCGTTTCCTCTCAACCTTTGAGTGGTCAGTGTGAGTCAGGGTGGGCTTGCTGTAAAAAGATAAGGGAAATGAGAAATGTGTTATACAAACCATAAAAGCAGCAACAATACACATCAGGTGTATGCACACATGCTAACAGATGCGTGCTCTCACTGACAACAACACCTACACATTCATGAAAGAAATGGGCCAGATGCAATGATTCAATTCAAACAGGCACTAAAAGAATGGTCAAATAATGTTTAAACACTTAAGTCACACAGTATGCTATACGTAATAATACAGAGGATAGTTGTTTCAGTTGGAAACAGTTCAAATGGATTTCCCCTTTTCCAAATGTTAATGATGCAACACAGAGTAGGTCAATACAAAGCTTTGATTTTTTGTTAAGAGAACAAAGTAGTGTGTTAGGTCATTTTTAAACTTCCTAGTAATCATATGCACTACCAGTCCAAAGTTTGGACATACTTGACTGACTAAATGTCTTGCGATCTAAAGGTTTGCGCTTAAATCTAAATAGCTTCTATATACAAATTGTTTTTTCAAAACAAAAGAAATTAATAATTTTAATGCCTTTCACATTATTTGAAAATGTGGAAAAAGTGATAAATAAAGTTTGGAGTAGGTGTATGCAAATGTTTTACTGGTAGCGTAATGTTAAATACACCAAATAAGATCATATTCTCTTTCATAAGATGTATGAATATATGTTTACAATATACAATACAACAGTACGATTATGATAGCATTCACCAAAACTGATGATTTTCCATTAAAGGGGTCATATGATGCGATTTCAATTTTTCCTTTCTGTCGCAGTGTTTACCACTCAACCAAAATAGACCTGTATGCACATTTGAAATGCTGACCATTGTAAAGATCTGTTGGCAGCATGGATCATACAAAATACACTAAGTGGGCTAATAGCCTCAACTGAATTCATAACACGCATATTTAAAAAAGTCAGATCTCCTATATGGGTTACAATCCAACATATGATCAAATTATTTGGTTACAATTTTAGCTGTAGTTAATGTAGCTGAAAATATGTTACAAGTAAATGTCTGTTTATGAGACAAAATATGTCATGATCTATTTCAGGAAAGAATTCATGATCTCAGGCCTGTAATTGAACTACATTAACGCAGTCTCAAATACTTGATTCTGATTGGTTAATCGCAGGCGGGTTCGAATCTAACCGTCAAATCTAACCGTTGTCCAGAGCAACTGACCGTTCGTCCAGAAAACGTTTGTGCCCTTCGCGGTTGTTGCAAATAATTTCAGCTGAATAATATTTTCACATGTAATACTTAATGTGTGTATATATATATATACATGTTAAGCAGTCGGGGTATAATACGTGGAACAGCGTAGTCAATGTCAGTTAGTATTTTTCGCAAAATAAACGGCTTCAGAGAGACGAGACCCCAGTCGCGGTTTATTTTGCGATAACGACCGACTGACTACCTGCATCCCCGCTGACGCAAAGGTAAGTTAATCACTCCTTGTTTTTCTCAGGATACAGATTAGTTCATACCAAAATGTCCACTGACACTTAAGAAAACTCAGTAATGTCGCAGTGTTTACCACTCAACCAAAATAGACCTGTATGCACATTTGAAATGCTGACCATTGTAAAGATCTGTTGGCAGCATGGATCATACAAAATACACTAAGTGGGCTAATAGCCTCAACTGAATTCATAACACGCATATTAAAAAAGTCAGATCTCCTATATGGGTTACAATCCAACATATGATCAAATTATTTGGTTACAATTTTAGCTATAGTTAATGTAGCTGAAAATATGTTACAAGTAAATGTCTGTTTATGAGACAAAATATGTCATGATCTATTTCAGGAAAGAATTCATGATCTCAGGCCTGTAATTTAACTACATTAACGCAGTCTCAAATACTTGATTCTGATTGGTTAATCGCAGGCGGGTTCGAATCTAACCGTCAAATCTAACCGTTTTCCAGGGCAACTGACCGTTCGTCCAGAAAACGTTTGTGCCCTTCGCGGTTGTTGCAAATAATTTCAGCTGAATAATATTTTCACATGTAATACTTAATGTGTATATATATATATATACATGTTAAGCAGTTGGGGTATAATACGTGGAACAGCGTAGTCAATGTCAGTTAGTATTTTTCGCAAAATAAACGGCTTCAGAGAGACGAGACCCCAGTCGCGGTTTATTTTGCGATAACGACCGACTGACTACCTGCATCCCCGCTGACGCAAAGGTAGGTTAATCACTCCTTGTTTTTCTCAGGATACAGATTAGTTCATACCAAAATGTCCACTGACACTTAAGAAAAGAAAAGATAGCGAAGAAATGTTCCTTCAGATAGGATTTAGTTCACCTATCAGGCTGGAAAAGCTAATACAATGCCTGTTGACATAAACACTTCCTGGTTTAGACTGCAACCCGTCGATAAGAGTCAAACAAACACCCAGAGTTCTTCAGAGCGGTAACAAATGCGATTAAATCACAGAGAAGTGAAGTTTTCGTGAAAAAGAACTCGTGTTTAAAACACATCGACGTAGCGAGCTGGAGAAAATGTCAGAGGCGGACAGCAGCAGACTGAAGAGAAACGCCCAAAAACTTCTCATGAGCAAAAACTGAAAGTACAGCGCCCAGACCAACGAAACCGTCGGTACTGACGTTTAGACTAGAGAACACATTAGTTCTGTTATGAACCAAAACTCACCTTCCAATCGAGCACAAATGGCTTTGAATAAAATAAAGCAAAAGTTCACGCAGATCTGTCAGCTCTTCTCTAAGAGACGGTTCTTCTCTAAAGCGCGTGGCACACCCTTCAACTACACTCTGAAGGAATTTCAAGTATTGTCCTTTATCCATTACAAAAGTTACCATTGTAACATAGTTTCCAACAAAATATGATGTATGGTTTATGTGTCTGGTGTAAAAGAAATATTTAAGTATAAAAAGTACAAAATATACCATGGTTTACACTAAATTACTATAGTACATCTTTTGTTACTATTGTAAGAAAATGACTGAAGTATTGTCATTTACCCGTTAGAATTTACCACAGTGACCATAGTTTTCACAAAAATACCATATTGCAGTTCAAGAATTCAAGTGTCGTCCTTTTATTATATATAATATGGTTACCATAGTAAGATTTGTAAGGGGAAATCATTTAAAATTCCTTTACGAGTCTCTTATACATTACTTTTAAAATATGAACCTTATATTAACCTTGCAAATGAAAACAAAGCTGTGACAGATTGACATACAGTAAGTTTATTTTTTTTTAAAAAGTACAATGTCTGTAAGGTATAATAAGGTCTATATTTTAAACCCTTTTGGATTAAATTCGCGTAATTCGCGCGAACTAGACGCGCGAATGAGGCGAATTCGCGTCTTCCGCGCCACGCTAAACGCCTCATTCACGCCGCGAGACCTCCAGACGCGCGTAAACGCGTCTTTACATTGACTTAACATTGAAATCATTCGCGCCAGACGCTCTATTCGCGTTTGGTGTGAACGCAGCATAACAATGAAACCACAATGAGTCTGTTGATCGTTGAAGGTTTTTCCACTCAACCGCTCTTTCAAATGTATTTGAAACTACAAAACATGAAAATGTCCACATTTATGTTTGGTCACACACGCATATATTTATCGTTATGGTCCTTTTATGCACTGGCATGCGAAAATAAAGTGAACCAGCATTAATATACTTTCTCATTGTAGATCCGCAGTAACAATTCAGTCATCGTTTGCTTTATAATGCTCGATTATTTAAGAATTTAAATATATAAATATTTAAATATATAAGAATTTATAAACCAGAAGTATATATGTAGAAGAGTGATTCCCAATTAAATTTTTCACATGTCTATTCAGAATGAATGCACAGGTATGCCCTTTTGTGCCTCCCAAAGTAGAAACATTCTGGCTGGAAGTTGTTTTTCTCTTCTACTTTCTTATAGCAGCTAATGGCATGGACCACAGTGTTGGGAAGCATCTTCCACAGCGTCTGAGCCACAGACTGCATGTTCCCCTTCAACTTTTGCATCTCTATCTGATCTACAATCTGGCTCTTGTTAATCGGTTTTGGGTCTGCACTGAAAGACACCACGATTCTGATGTTGTTTGGGGTCAGAAGATCAAAAAAGTTGCCACCTCCACCACTTCCATGGTACTTTTTGCCAGCGAGCCAATTCCAGAAGAATATGCCGCTGTGGTTGAAGACCCGAACTGACCAGAAAACCCAGTAATATTTCTTCGCAAGGATATCCAGTAGAAATCCTGTGAACTCTGGGTCAACGTTGGCTTGTCGCTCCAGAAGTTGACGCTCCACATCCGTTTTGGCCTGCAGAGGGAAATTCTCAATGCAGTCATCCACCGCCGCTTTCATGCGTGTCTCTACGTCTTCCATGCGATCCTGCCATTTCTTCACCATGCCCTCGCCTACAGCTCCCTCTTTCAGGGCGGCGTGACCCATGACTGCTATAATTCCCATGACAAATATCTTTTTCAGTCTGGCACAGAACTCCTCCACTGGCTTCCTGCTCCTTTGCTCTGTGGTCACCACCGTGTCCAACATGGCATCTCCAGAGATATTCTCTCCAGTTACAGCATTGTACAAAGAACCAATGTTCAGATCACCACCAGTGTTCTCATACTGGGTTATAAACTTCTCCTTCTTCTTCTCCTTGAACTTGGGCTTAGCATTGACAAAGTCTTGAAACTTCTCATACTGACTTATTATCTTCGCCTCGCAGTCAAAGTTCTGCTTATTCATGGTCGTCCGCTGCATCTCCAAAGCAATTTGGTCGATTTCATCTTGAATACCTTCAAGTTTCTGGTTGATCTTTTCAAACTGCTCAGCAAGAAACTTGGCCTCTTTGCCTTCTGGGTTTCCGAGGAGCTCGGCCGAGGCCAAAAACACGGCCTCCAGGATGGGGTGAAATTGTCCCACGGTGGCTGCTAAAACCTCGCAACCTTGCCCCATGATTTCCACTCCTTTCTCGACCTTGTCCTTGTTCTCCAAAACCCATTCTTCCACCCGATTCATTGTGGTTCAAAGCAGAGAGGCCGTCTTATCCTTCTTACCCTTGTCTGTAACAGATCAAGGCATATATATCATAAAGTGGAAGCCACAACATAAAAATCTATACTAAAATCAATGCAGACATTTCTAAGGGTCATATTTGTTTGCTCAGGATGGGACCTTAACAGTAACCTGAGATGAATTGGACAGCCAGACCACAGGGGCAGAAATACCAGTATTTGTATTTTTATACATGTTTCCCATGGGCCCGAGCCATTTAAAAAAAAGAAAAAAGAAAAATTTCTGGTCTTGTTCGGGGATGTCCTGTTCCACCTTACACCCCACCAGCTAAGTCTAAGCAAATTATACAACAATAAAGGCAGATCAGTGAGATCAGGTGTCTACTATAAGAATTAAAGCCAAACATGCTGAAAGGTTTTTTGTGCTTCTGGCACACTTTATTATTAGTATTATGAGCACACAGTCATCTTGAATTGGAGAGCTGTTCGCTCCCTTTCTGTGGGGAATAATTCAGCATTTAAGCCCCAGATTTATAGCAAAGCAGATGTTTTCAGGAGTTGCAGGGAGAATTTGATGGCTTTAGCTGTTAAGCATTTCTGGGCACTTCGATTACACAAGGGAGATGATCTCACACTCGTATCTAATTTCCTAGGACTCAGTATACAGAAAAAAAGGCACACCCAGATCTGAGAAAATCTGTAACCAGTACACTTGTCCTGAGGTGAAACCATATTCTACACCATATGACTCAGATTTTTACATACAAAATAAACACAAATAAAAATACAAGACTAAACCTGACATTTGATAAACGTATTTCAAAGATCAAAGACTTAATCTGCCTCTGTTGCAATAATGTCGCGCATAATGATTTAGTGGATTATGTGAACAATTATGGGAATTCAGTAGCTATTATTATGAATGATAAGCATGTAGAACTTGTATATGGAATTTATGACTCAACCATGCATCTTTTAAAGGAGCATTCTGATCTCAATGGAATTAGGAGCAAAACAATACTTACTGAACAATACAATGATCCTGATTGTTTCAAGTCCTCCTTTGTAAGAATAATTAAGATGGCTTTGGAATTAAAACTCCAGGATGTGTCCGATTTGAGAAAGAAAATTACTTCATAATAAAATAAGTTTCAAAGAAATTCAGTCTAATAATTTGTATAAAAAAAAACACTGTTTTTGATGGTTCTACTCAGTGGAAAAAAGGAAAGGAACCAACCAACTGATTCTAAAAAAGAGGAACTGTTCAAGTTCAAAGCCACGTCCCTTATTTCTATCCAAATGCTGCTTAGAGCTTTGTGGCAGTCAGTATATTGACTTAAGCACAACATCCAGTATTATATGGACATAATATGGCAGGATGTTGTGCTTAAGTCAATATTGACTGGCATCAAAATCACAATGATTCCCACAAAGTGTCTTCTTCAACTGTTCATGACAAAAAGCATAGATCATAGGCCAGCTATTTTTATTTTTGTATTTTGTGACTTTTTATTGAAAGCTCTATAAAGTTTTTTAAATTGTGCCAATAAAATAACAAAAGATGAAAAAAGAGAAAGGAAAGGATGATAAATGGAAATGGACAAAGGCAAAAAAAAAAAAACTCACCGTTAGTCTGGTGAAATGTTCAGAGGTGTTCTCCAGTATTCCAACAGAGTCCAACTAAAAGCACCAGCCTCCCAGGGTCCACATATATATATAGACTCTCTCCTGCGGCACTCCCCCTTCAGATTAACTCCATCCCCTGCCAGCATTCCTCTGAGCCCACTAGAAGAGACGAGGGACAGGCACACAGACAGATAACATCCTGTAAACATGCCTTCTATGAGAAAAATCAGCATGTAGTGGTACAGTGCCAGAAATGCATAGAAGCGTCTTTCCATTTTAAACATCATGCATGCTCTGCCCTTCTACACGGGTTGTCATGGGTACAGACACTCACAGTGGCTTCTATGCAAGACGAGATGGTAAACTGAATATATTACATTTTAAAGTAAAGTGAAAAAATAGAAAACAGTTGTTTTAAATTGTAAGCATATTTCACAATATTACAATTTTTTACTGTATTTTTGATCAAATAAATACAGCCTTTGGCGAGCATAAAAGATTACAAAAAACATTAAAATATATATAATTTTATATATAATATAAACCCTCTCATGCTGAATTAAATGACAAAGAGAAAAATATAGGCCTATTTTTTTTCTTCCTCAAAACAAGAATTATTCCCATTACACATTTGTCCATTGCAATTTGAATGTTGAAAGTGTGCTTCCATAAATAAAAATCATAACGACGCATAAAAATAACAGTGATGTACCAGAATTTTGTGAACGTCAATGATAAGTAATTTGCTTATAATATCACACTCTGAATGGCCCAAACTGTAGTGGACACCATGCATCAGAGGGATAAATTCTAATAAATAAAAAACAATTTTTTGCAAATAAATAAGCTGTAGTCTTCAAATTGTTCTTCTTTTAGGAGACTTTGGCGAGCTAGATGCCAATCTAAAATTTGTGTGAAAACAGCCCTTGGGGGCCCGATGCTTCTAGGTCACTTCCGTCACACTGCTTTACATGCCAAAGAAAGACTCTACTGTTTGCGGCATGGCAGGCAAGCAAACCCAGAGCCTTTGTGCTGAAGCGGTCGCTGGGACACACTGGCATGCATTGACTCGTCTGTAGAAGAACAGGGGGCTGTTGTGGATTACAGAGGGTCTGGCTTTAGCATTTCAAATCTTCATGTCACTGTTAGATCTTGCACTATGCAAATCAGTTGTGCTCATAAACAATGATGAACACACACTATTAGGCAAAGATCTGAAATATTAAAGCAATGAATGAATGACTGAAAACAGCTTCCATATCTTGTAGTGTGTTTCCTAGCCGTTCTCTGTATTTGAAATCCCTGCCCATGCATTATTTTTTCTAATTTAGCATGAGTCATGATGTAAAGTTATAAAAAAGAGGATTAAGATTTTACTTTGGTTTAAACAACAACAGCAACAAATGTTGTGCAAGGTGTGCAAGAAAGGGCAGCATAGTTCACTGCATACATTTATCATCAATAATATTTATTATTAGCATTGAATTAAAGAAAAGGGAAAAGGTGAGATGTGATTTATGCACAACACAAGTTTATTGCTTACGCTTAGGGGTTTTGAGAAACAGATATGAGCAATATTAATAGTGTTGCTTGCTTCAGCAATTGCCACAATAACATTAACTTTTTATGCCACATGATATATTTTAAATCTTATCCTCGTCTTAAATATAAAACTGCTAACATTTATTAGTAAATTCTAAACTCTGAACATCTCGTGTTCAGAATCTTGTGAAACAGTGATGTTTACTGTGAGTAGTGAAGTGCTTATGTATATGCTGCCACAAGATGTCACTTCGGTTCAGATAGATTTCTTATTTACATGAAGCAAAATTTGATGTAGTATAAAAAGTCAAGCTTTTTATTGTTGATTTTATAAATCTGTATAGTAGACAGTAAATCAGATTATTTTAGCATGCCTAAGCAGTGGTCGAATTGTACAAATATTTCAGGGTGGATGGTGTGGTCAGTTTCTTGTTATAAAAACTTAAAAACTCATACGTGGATATTTCTGTCTTTCATTGCTTGAATTATAAGGGCATTCTAACTGCTTTTGGACTCTCAAGACGTTTTTGTTTGGTTTTTGCAAAGTCGTTGACTCGATAATCTCAGCTCTACTATCATCTCTCAATCCCTCACAGTCACACATACAGCACAATAACATAATGTCGAGGAATGTCTTTAGATTATAATCAAGGGGAAATCATACATTTTCTGTTGTCTTCTTTTTAAAGAACTTCAAAAGTTGCGCTTGAACCATTTTGCACGAAAAATTACGAAAACTTGCTTCCTCTTGTGAGCAGATTACAGTACCGAGTTCCGATTGGCGATTCGCTGCTATTTAGTTTGTGAATTATCATAAGTAGAGAATTTTAACATTTCATTTGCATGATAAGTTTTACATAATACACATCATTAATCTAAATGGGGATGGTAAAGGGGGATGGTGGGTTTACCATGATGCTTTTTGTCATTTTTTTCAACCAGGGGGATGCCATCCCCCCTCAATTCGAGCCCTGTGCCTAAGAGTAAATTGTGGGAATTATTTTATGTGTGAATTAGCTGCAGGCCATGCTGACTAACTGTTAAATTGGAATTATTCAGACAGGTTTGTCCTCTTAATTGAAACTAGGGCTGTGCAATATATCGAAATATCACAAATGTACATATCGCAATATGCATATCGCTACAGCTTGCAATATTTGGGGCCATGAACAAAAGACAAAGAAAAAATCACTCACTGCTGACCTAAATTACTTTTGCAGCTTAAATAAGAATCAGTGCATATTGAATTCAAAAAGTAAATTCTAAGCAGTTTTTTATTTTTCCTTTTTATTATTCAGTTCCTAAACTCATGTTAAAATGATTACACTAATGTTAAAATTACATTTTTATGTAATGCTCGAGTAAAACACTACCGTTCACTTTCAGAAGTTGTTGTAGGGGTGCTTTCTTATTAGAATCAGAAGCAGAATGAGCTTTATTTACCACTTAAGTGTGCGCAAACACAAGGAATTGGTTGTGGTTTTACAGGAACTCTTGGTACATACATACATACAAATAACCATATATATATGACACAAGATAGTTATAGAAGTTTACAGAACTGACTGCGCAACAGCTGAGTAAAACTGTTTCATCTGAGCATTTGGCACTTTAAGCATTATCGTATCGCATATCGAATATCGCATTATTTAGTTATCGCATTTTTCTTCAATATCGCACAGCCCTAATTGAAACTAAAAGATCATTCAGGTGGGTCTTCCAAGAATCATCAAGACGTAATCATGTGGTTTGTCTTGGCTAAATTTAAGTGCATTCTGAATGATTCATTGGAAAATATTCAATGTGTGCTTCATTGTAAATGTGCCAACGTCTGTCATGTGAGACAAACAAGATATACTGTATCTACAAATGAGGAAATATCCAATGTAAATTAACTGCTCTATATTATCTTTAGCACTTAAAGTTTTTAGCACTGGTCTCTTCACAACTGCTGTCATTTGAAAAAAAACTATATATATACAGTATACTGTATATACATCTTGGCAAACTAATTATTTTGGGTTTAATTCTTTTTCCATCCTTTCCTTCTCAAACAAGCAGTGTCAGGGAACAGCTGCTTCCGGATCGCAGGACATGAGCAAAGAGCTTTCAGTGAATTAATGGGGAAAAAATGGCATTTCGCTTAAGGCAAAGGATGAACACAGCTTTAGTGACAGACCTGAATATCTCTGCTTCCTCTGGTCTGAAAAAAAAAAAACTTCAGAGGACTTGACAGTTACTACAGTAAAATTCTCATATAATTCCAATTTATTCCACATAAAATAGATTTTTTCTTTAAAAGATAGCTGGGCTTATATATATATATATATATATATATATATATATATATAGTGGGTATACAAAATAATTTTGTTGCTTTGTAGCCTGAAATGAAGACAGACACAGTTTTTGTTTTATCCAGCTGTATGTCCAGATATATGAATGTCCTTGCATGAGACTTAAACCCCATTGAAAATCTGTGGAATGACTTGAAGACTGCAGTCCACAAACGCCCACCATCAAATTTAACTGAACTTGAGCAGTTCTGCAAAAAAGAGTGGGCAAATATTGCAAAGTCTAGAAGATGTGCAAAGAGTAGAGACAGATCCCAATAGACTAAAAGCTGCAATTAAAGCAAAAGGTGGTTCAGCAAAATACTGTCACATGGGGGTGATCCTTTTTCCAACTCAGTGATTCTGTTTATTTATTTATTTATTCTGACATGTTGGTGTTTTATCTTTCACTTGGATGTTATAAGTTGTAAATACAGCTGGATAAAACAAAAACTGTGTCCATCTTTATTTCAGGCTGCAAAGCAACAAAATGTGATTATTTTAATGGGGGGTGATTATTTTCTAGACCCACTGTATATATTGATGGTGAGTTTGTTTAGCAGTGTTTTGGCTGACTTCAAGTATGTCTGTATTGATTTCAGTCAGGTTTCCTAAAGCATCTCTCTCTCTGCCCTTTAAAAACCTCAACCTTAAGCAAATGGAAAATGTGATTACAGCCCAGACAGCGATGAAATAGAAGGTCACCGCTTTGCAGTTCTTCATTAATGCGTGGCTGTTTTGTCTTGTGAAGGCCATTGGAGTTAATTTATGATCATTTGTCATTTAACCTTAGTTTGTCATCTCATTTTGGCTGTCCTCATGCTCAGAAATGTGGATGATTCATAGTTGTGAATTTAAAATGTAACGTCTGACCATTTGCACAGAAATCGTTATGTGAATCCAATGTTATTGCCTGAAGGACGTTTATTGTCATCCAATTTGTTTGGGTTTTATCAGAGTACAGGGTCACTTTGGTGATTACGTGATGCTCCACCAAGAACTCAGAGATCAAATGTATTGCACTGCAACAGACAGATAGAAAACTAGAGGAAGGCTGTGTGCTACAGATGACTCTTGTGGTTTTGTCAGGAAAGAAGCTATAAAAAGCTGATTGTTCATTGTCTGCTGATTAAATATTACTTAATATTTAAGCGTCAGGTCTAAAATTCCCCCACCCTGTTAACCGTTAAATTATTACTTAATAAATCTTGTGGAGGGAAAAAATGTCACTCAGAAATTGCAAAATTTTACAAACAAAGAAATGACAAGACATTGAATTAAACACAAAATTTTAGACAAACTGAAACA